GAAATGTTTTGGAACAAACCTTTTGATCAATGGCCGCATTGTTAATTATTCTCATCGCTTCAGCTCCAGATAATACCACCTGAACAACGACAGTTTTTGAGAATGAAAACAGAAATTACAAGAGAAGTGAAGTCAAACTGATCACAAACAGCACGAGTAGCTTCTCCGATCCACTGATCGCATCAAAATTGGGACGAATTTTGGCATTTGGACGAAAGATTCAAAGATGGTAAAACCTTAGACGATTATAGAAATCTAAGAAAAAAAAATAATAGAAATTTAACTGTAGGTCGCAGAGCTGATTTTGCACCCAATTTCTATGTTGGATGCTGTTTCTAACTGAAAAAGAAGCCTCGCTCTGATGATTACTGATGCGAAAAAAGGAGGAAGTGACGATATGATATGGTTGACACAAATGCGCGAATGATTCTAAATCTCTCCAAGTCAGAGCAATGATTCTCAGAACCACAGATGCCAATAAAGAAATCACCTGATCACTGATATCCGGACTTTTCATTATTTCCAAGAATTGTATCATCCGACGATGGTACAACTCTTCTATAGCATCATTTCTTTGTGTTGGCGATAACAGACGACGTATTAAAGCCTTCCTCGCGTTGGCCAGTTTTCTTCGTTGCTTTTCTATTTTCCTTTGACTTTTCGGTCTTCTTATCCGACGAGATTTCCAATTTGTTGTTTCATATCTATATATTCTGAAATATCAAATTCGGTTAGATTTGGGCGCAGTTTTGGGCTGCTTTTCTTCCATATGGAAATATTAACTGCTCGCAGAATTTCTCCTAAATTACAAAAAACAACAGAGAAACACCCGATAGTCAGTGGATATTTTTGAATCATGAGGAAACTGAACCTTTAAGAATCATATTGAATAAACCTGAAAAAAAAAACAACTGAATCATGAGAAAACTGAATCATATTTCTGTACCTGTTTTCGTTAATCATAGATCTGAGAACCTCTCTAAGTTTGTTGTGGTTTATCGAGTCGAAACACTCCCGAATATCACTTTTTACGACATATATTTTCGGTCTTTCACCTTTCCAATAACGAGTAGCGAATTTTTTGAACGGTTTACAGAAGTTGCCTGAAATTGAATGTGTGCAGAGTTTGGCATATGCCTGAACAGAAAATAAATTTTCACATCCCATTAGTACTGAAGCATTCAATAGTCGGCAGTGCGACTGATTCGGCCAGGTGCTTCCTTTACAAATTCGGCCAGGTATTTATTTCCTTTGCAAAACTACAAGTCATTGTGATAAATAGTAGAAAAAAGTCCACATACTTATCGTTTCATTTACACATTTGTTTGAAATATACACAGGCATATAATTTTCATCAGAATATTTTCGTCAATCAACAGAAAATTTTGTTTGATCCATTTTACCCTTTGCCACTGAGAAGATACATATGAATTTGTGCAATGATGGTCATTAGCGTGCTATTCCACTAATCGTTAATTAGCGAATTAGCGGATTAGCGTTAGCGATTAGCGCGCTAACTTTTCCGTTAGCGTGCCTATACGCACTGAATTTATGCATTCGCAGATTTTCATGCAATCCTTGTCCTAACGATGAAAATCAAACTTTGACTTGAAATAGGTGATAAAACAGAAATTCTTTACAGATACACACACCTCCACGAATTCCTGCGCCTGTTAATGGAACTCTGCTTTTACTTGCGAGTGCCGAACGACAGATATAATCTAATAAACCATTCGTTTCCTTTAGCTGTGTTGCAACCCGTGCAAAGACGCGATCTTTAGCACTAGTGCGTATGGAACGTGTTATCGGTCGTGTCGCATCGCCTTTCGGCATGAAACGTAAAACGTTCTTCACCTCGTTTGGCTTTAGGCGCTCTGAAAACAACAAAGTCTCTTGAAAGTTCCTCTTCGAATGGTGCATTATTCAGTCTGATTCAACACGAAGACAATAGGAATCNAAGTCTCTTGAAAGTTCCTCTTCGAATGGTGCATTATTCAGTCTGATTCAACACGAAGACAATAGGAATCGCACATATCGGACTCGAGTCCATGAAAATTATTGATTTTCTGGACTCGCTTTCTCCTCCCATAACGGTTTAGATCAGGCTGGACTATCATGTACAGTTTAAAAATTTTTATTCATTTATAATTACGCATGCATACTCTTAACTCAGAATCAGGATTATCATTGTGGAGGTGAAAGAAAAAAGTGAACTCGAAACTTCAGAGTTCACTTACCTGGATAAGGTTGCAGCATAAGACTGTTTTGATAACGCTGAAAGCTTTCGTCTTCGATACGTCTCCACACATCTTTGCAGTAGAATCTCAGCGAATTGCTATTGCTTTCATTGGTCACGTAGAAAGTGAGTCTTAAAAAAAGTACATTTATGAATATTAAATGACTAGTAAATTACTTCTTGTTTGTGAAACTCTGCAATACCTCGCAATCAGTAGAATACTTGGACTAATTTTGCTAAACAGTTACGCGCAATGTTAAAAATTTTTTGTCAAGAAATTGATCAATTACAGATCATCTGACGAACAGGAAATATGCTCGAAATGAAAATATTGTTCTAAACGACAAAAGCAATAAATATAA